AACTACCCCACAATCCTTATACTTATAACATTTCTCAATTGAAATTCCGGGCAGCGAGCAATCCCAAAAGCCGCGTGAGCATTCTTTGCATTCCACCAATTCATTTTCATAATTCATTGCCAATTACTCGTATCGATTTACCCAGACACTATTATCAAGCGACATTCCTGCGCTACTCCGACAAAAGATTTATACGCCTTGCCCCCGCCACCTTTTATATTTCGCAAAGGGATAGTGCGCTCAAAGTTAGTTTACCAACCATGCAGTGAATAAAATTAGTAAATACGTTATTTGTGAAAGCCAAAATAAATACTTCGTTATTAATATAATTATTTATTTTGGCGCGAAGCATAAAACAACCTACCGTCGGATTTATTTTAAGCCTCTTTCCGAGGCAAAAAATGTTAAGCCTCTTTCCTTATTGAAGTGTTTATAGTGTTTTTCAACCATTAACGGATGCTGCAAAAGAACTTTAACACGTCTGAATACTTCGTATTATGAATCCAGTGTAAATGACATTACTATAAATGTCACTCTTTCTTCTTGCCTAATCAGCTGCACAAAAGTAAGAGATGTTTGTACTTTATAGAAGATTGCTGTTAATGCGTTAAAAAGCATTAATGAAACGACCGACATCGTAACTCATCTCTGCAAGCTCTTCGTCCCCCGCATGCATGTATGTACGCTTGGACAAAGATGTCAAGCTTGCCGTTGCGGCGCTCGTATATATGATATATTCGCGAGTGGCCGAATTCATCGAATATTTCTCTGCACGTGCACACGTGCATTAATGCATGAGCGCCGAGTGTTCATGCCATGATGAATACCACTTGTCAATCAAATATCTGTCATAAGGCATGTGCAAATGCTGGCTTTTTCAAATGGGTTATTGTACGTGCAAAAACAAATTCTCACGATTATCATCTAATACTCTAGTGCGAAATATTGTCTATACAGTCAATTTAAAATGATTTATCGATTTGCCTCCTAACAAGCGAGATAAACCTTTTTCGTAGCCTACGAGTCTTCAATTAGTTATACTCGAACTCTGATATAAGTATATATGAAATTAGGTATGCGTTAAAATGCTTTTGTACCGAAGAGTAATTCGAATCATTCTACTCTGAATCTTTGTTTAATATAAAATATGACAATCCATTAAAAAACGTACTAGTTACGATGTCTCTTCGGTGGATTTGTGCTTATGATTTTATAATTTGTTTTTGAATTTCGGTAATGGTCGCCAACATTAAATTCCTCTTTCGTAGCGACAAGCCATGAGTTTGCCAGTATTCTTGTTTTCAGAAGTTTAGCTTTTAACTGTTATGAGCATCTACAGTAAATCATAGTAGGTTCATTTGGCCTTGGTCGAATACAAATTGGCCGGGCAGTCATAAAAAAACCGCAAGTCGTCGTTAAGAACAGATGGGAGAGGCATGCAACATGTTGCCGACATTTTAAAAGATTCAAGTACAAAAGAAAGTTTCGCGCTGCACTTGTTTGAAAATTCAAACACGATGAGGCACAGGCTTCTTAAATCAAATGTTAAAATTACGATTGAAAGTTTTTCTAATTAAATAATTGAGTAAGATCGCCGGAATTGTCCCGACGAAAGTTGCTTTTTACTCTGTGAGTTGCTCTTGGCGAATGAGACTTGCGCAGCGACGGGAGTATTGCGTGGATTTGGGAATTCTCATCGATTTAATTAGCGAGAGTGAAGCACTGAAAACCGAACAAGACAAGAATTTGAGATAGTGAAATAGCTATTTGTTAATGATGTATATGCATGTGCAAGCTTGATATTCGGAAGATGTAAATTGAAGCGCTTGGATTGAAGCGGTAATTACCGTCGGGAAGTTTAGCAAGTCAATCTAAACTGCGAAGGTGTACTTTTCGACTTGGCTCTTTCGTACTGGCTAGTCCCAACTAACTAGGAGGCGGCGACTGAACGTTTAATTAGCTCGCTCTTCGAGAAACCTCTTGTGCGTGTGTATTGTTACAACCTACTTATCATAGCAATGGATAGTTGGTGCTCAGCACTCCAATTTGGTCGTATAGCCTATCAAACGTACGTCTACGTGGCTTTTCACCCGAGATAAAACTTAGGTTCTCATTGCGAGTTGAGCAAATTTGCCTTGGAAATATTTCACGTCAAGGGACGATAAGTTTTTCAATTAAGATTTGCATAAACGGCATACTTTTCGAAGAGTGGAGTTGAAATTACGTCAATGGATGCTTGTCGGGGGAAACAATGACGCGCTTAATCCTTTCAGGCTGGATTCCAAAAGCTGCGGCAAATAAACGGAGAAAGAGATCCGAGCCATATAAACCTTCAGAGCGGTGGGCCACCGTGTAAATATTGTCAAATTCGCGCACGGTTTATGTGCCTATAGCTCATGGACACTGACAACGCGATATAACTCTTGACTAACATTTTGAGCCGGCCGTTGATTTATGCGCTAGAATGATTAATCGCGTTGATACGCAAGTTCCTCGCGGATAATAATTAGTCTTTCAATTTACGCGCATAGAGATGCGACTATGCGAGTCAGGTAAATTTAATGACCAAACTGTTTCAGAGGTGAAATGTTTTGCTGACGGAACACTGTCGCCTATTAAACTTTTGCAGTCTCATTTGCCAAGAGCAATGAATGAAACAAAGGATGAATGGACTACGTTTCTTTGCGTTCATACACCCGCGCGTAAAGAAGCTTTTTTTATATTCGGCATAAAAAGATATATGTGCCGTTCACGACACCTGCGAGAAACACTCGGAGCGTACACGAGCAATCTCAACGCAAACTGCACCTTACGTTTGCGCACATTGTTACGTCCGATGTTTCTGTCGAGATGGAAGCCCGGAGTCCCGGCTTTACGAGCGAACAATATGAGATATCGTCCTCGTCCCTCCTTGGTCAAATCAATCAATCCGAGTTTCCACTCGTTTACGCTGTCCCAAGTTTTTGCGTTTGATGTTTCGTTTGTAGCCCGTCCTCGAGTAGGAGCGCCCCTAGCTTTGCCTCGAACGCCATAAGCGAAACGTGCTATTCAATTATTATGTGGGTCCACTGAGGCAGTTTTGGAAAAGCGCAGCAAATAAAGCGTTAGCGTGCAAAAATTGTAGGAAAAGCTGGAAAAGCTCGACGAGCGCGGCCTCCCAGTGCAATGCCTCTGTACTGGGCTGTAGCGCCCGTCGCAGAGCAGTGCAGCGCTTCTAGGGATCGCTGCAGCTTGGGCCAACGTCATTCCGCGATCCGCGAAGGCGCCGAATGTTCCACGACTGCGGCCTCGGTGCTTCCACGTGTCGCGCGTGCGGCTGTCTGCGATGTCCGCGCCATAGCTAAATAGATTACGACGCCAACTCTTATTCTATTTATTTCCGACGCCCAAATACCAAATAGGCGACCGACATTGTCAAAGGCGCCGCACCTGATATAAGCGCCTCGGTTTGATTCGCAATCGATAGTCAGTTAAGCGGCCTGCGCGCGCGGCGATAATAGCTGTAGACATCTGATTGGGCACCGGTGAAAGCTATTGACTGCGCTCGTCGGCTCGTAATCGAAAGCTTTCCGCCTGGAAAAGAGTAGGCGACAGTGTCATCGGATCCGGCTCGGCGACGACCCGTCAGCCCATTAGGTCTCATCCAAAAGCAAGCTGGCGAAATGAATGTGGGGCAGACGAGCGTCGACCTAATTTGCAAAGACGTCGAGAGATAAGGCCGAGGCCAGTTGCTCCGGCGCGTGGTGCAGGTGCGCGCGCCCGAGTGCGGCAAGCAAGAAAGCGAGAGACAGAAGACGAGGCGGAAGACGAGGCGGAAGACGAGGCGGAAGACGAGGCGGAAGACGAGGCGGAAGACGAGGCGGAAGACGAGGCGGAAGAGGAGGCAGAAGACGAGGCAGAAGACAGGCGGCTGGCTCTGATTGATTGCGCGCTTTCTCCGGCGACGTCGGCTCGCGAGAGGCAAGGGCCAGGGGAGGAACGGTCGGATCGATGGCACGCACAAGCGATCGCTCGGTCGGCAGGCAACTCCGCTGGGAGGCAGGCCGAGTGCGTGCACACGCGCCGCCCCTGAGCGTTCGGCTCGAAGTGCACACGCAGCCGGGCGACAGCGCACACCATTAGCGACCACTGACCTAAATTAAGCAGCCAACGCCAACTCCGTTTCAATCCGGTTAGATTGCGCGACCTTATTTACCTTTGCTTGGCCCATTGTCTCCCGCTCTCTCTCTCTCTCCCTCTCTCTACCCTCTAGCTGTAGCTATCAGCCGCAGCTTTCCATCACCGCTGCTTCGTACACACCAATGAATTTGGTTCAAAACGAAACAAGTCTTTCAATGCTCTTTGTCGACGCGTAGCTCTACACTGCGGCCCAGACCCACTCGACATTAATTCAAAGTCCATGAATTCGCAAAACGCCAAATCCACCGTTTTGTTGGACAATTCGCACATTTCAAACCTTCGACCAACTCCAATGAAGGTACACAAGACAGGAGCGCTGAATGTCTCAGCGATCGACTCGTTTCGATTATGCCAAGTGCATTGTAGCGCATATATTAGTCAATTACATAGGTCAATTAACTGCCGCAGCCTCACCAAGCTTATAATTGAGTCAACATTGGGCATTTGTTGACTCTTCCAGTTATGCGCGTCGCTCGCGTGCGGTTTACAGTCGACGTTACGCCTGTTTGGTTGCTGGAAAACCCTCTACGGTATTCCGCGTCATGATATCCAAATTGGACCAGCTACGTCGTCGCAACGCACTTGCCATGCCTGTCTGCCTAATGTTGCGTACGGAGCAACTGTTGATCATTGCGCTATCCACGCCTGAGCTTGGCTCGATTGTAACCCTTTTCCGACAATCTATCGCCGAATGTGACGGCGATTTCACCGGGTATCGTTTTTATTATTTTCATAAGAATCTTTTGCTCTACTATGAAATTTTATCGTCGTGGATTACCTGTGAGCGTGAACGCAATGCTGTCTCTCATCGTTCGCGCACGTTCTGCACTGAATAATGACTAATCGTCATTCTTTCACGTTCTTTTAGCATGTTTAATTTATTACTAATTCTCTTTACAGTCTTTGTATACAAATATAAGTAAAGCAGAGGATGACTTGTCAGAGTTAACATCAACGCAAATTAGGCCAACTCATATAGACATAAAAAATTTTATTCTTTAGTTGTTACAGTAGTATCATTAATTGATATTATAACAGACCGTTATATAAATTTGATAATTCGCATTTACAAGCTAACAAATAAAAATTTTATGATGCATCTACTTATTGATAACATTTCAGATGAATCTTCATTACGACGAGGGTAAATTTTTCACGGATGAATGACATATTATTTCTGCAAAAATATTTCCAAATAAGTGTTCAGAGTTGTAGTACGTTTTTTAATCACGTATGACTCACGTATTACTCTGCTCATTTCCTAACGATACTTCATAAATCATTCATTTCACTCATAGTTTCAACAAATGCGGAAGAACACTTATTTTTCGTGATGTAACAGTTATACAAATAATAAGTAAATTATCTTACAAGTCTTTTCGTGACTTATGCAAATATTAGATTTAGTTTTATACAATTTCGTTGATGGTAGGGCCACCTTACCATAGTTTTGTAAAAATATCTCTGCAAAGCCACAGGAGCCTATATAAAATACATACATAGGAATTCGTAGTTATAGACATTTTCGTAGATTTCGGTATTCTCCTTCGGTTATGTACTTCTTTTAAATAATCTGACGTAGACTCTCTGCTTTAAGTAATTTCGAAAGAGGGCTGCATTATATATTTATATCAAGTACACATAAATAAGAATAACGAAATCTATGAGTAGTTTCCTATCATATGTTCCAAGATCGTCTTAATTATTAATTTTAAATTCAAATTTATAATTTTTATGTAAACAATGAAACTGCCTCGAGCAGTATTATATACAATATCTATGTAAATTAATTAGCTTAAAATTACATGTCTATAGCTGTTTGAGTCATATTTTGATGATGTACATTAAACATTGGGTCAACATTTATACATTACATATATTGTTCAGTATTGTACAACCAGTCAATGTGAATTAAGTTATTTGCATACTATGAAATAATAAGGTAATGTTTTACTATTGATTATATATATTTTTTTCTATTTCATTTTCATCAAATAAAAATATGTATTTTGGTTTATTGTTGCTGAGTTTTAATCACTACGCTTTTACAAAAGTTTTTATTAGAAAATTTCCATAATCCTTACTGGGATAGTAATTCTGCAATCATTAAAATGATTTACATATATAGACATCTTTATCATAAGTTTATTCGGTGTAAGTTTATTAGTACGAGCATAATAAAAGGAGAGGGCGCACTGTAGTTAGCTGTCGATTACTCTTATTGTATCGAATGAACGAGAGAGTAAGGGGAGAGACTCAAAAGGAATAAGATATAAGAGAAGAATCGCGTAGTTATTAAAAGCGTATCTTTTCAATAAAAAATATTTTCCACATTTAATTCACATAAATACTCTATCAAACCTCTTTACAAGTTATAACAAGGTTAAAGATTTATAAATTTCCATTATCCACCAAATAATTGACTAATAGAGTGGAAGGAATTTGCTTAATACTTTACATTTTCACGGAAAATTATTAAAATTACAATCCACTGTGGATTTCTTCGTTTACTTAAGATAATGGTATCAATGGTACACGAAAAAAGATTTTGAGGAAATAAGAACAATTTGAAAAAATGATTTGCCATTTAGCGATTGATCGCCGATTACAAATATTTATATAGTTCTAGTTCTATTTGTTCTATTCTCCCTATACCTTTCTCAGACTTTTAGGGTACTCACCACCGTTGTGCGAGAGCCATTTATCTCCTCCCCCCCTATAAGACCCCGTAGGTCTTTTTGCTCTTTGTGCTCTCACCCCAGCAAACTCCCGAGAAGCGTCATTCTTTATGTCTACCTGCAAAGAAGAGATTTTGTAATAATTCTAGACAAGTAATCAATTACAATCAAATCATTAATAGTCGTAAGTATTCGGAATCTTCCAAAATATGTTCCAAAATTGAATCTCTTTTGAGAATATAACATTTTGAATATGTTATACTTTTATTTTAATTGTGACGCGTTAATTTATTTGCCAGATTTGAATTTCAAGTGTTGTAAAAGTTTTTGCTGAAGAGATTGAAATTTCGAACATGTTTTGGAAGATTCCGAATACTTACGACTATATAATTAATTATTTCGATTTTTTGTTCAGAATTTTTACAAAATCCCTTTTTTGCCAACAAAATAGACAGTTTAGGTGAGCATGAAGAATGCAAATTGAGAAGGGCCTCCGATATCAAATTTTTGCACTATTTTTGCACCTAGCCGGAATTCGACGCCATGACAATTTGTGAAAAGATTTCACGACATCTAACCTATGCCGAGTATACTTGCAAATGGAAGAATTGTTATAGTATTTTTCTAAAGTAAGCTAAGTTTCTTCGAACAGTGCCATAAATCTGGGGAAATGTCAATGATTTTTCTAAAGCACTTCAGCAATAAAACTAGTCAAAATGAGCAGTTCTAGAGACGATACGTTACCGTTATTTAGCTTGAGATATGATGGAGGAGCTATTGAAAAGCTGAGTGAAATGTAGGCAAAATTGATTGATACCTAGCGGCAAGTTTGCGGGTTGTACCAACTGCCCGCAAGGGTACGCAGGATGGAATCGATTGAAGAAGCGTTATGTCATCGTTCAAAGATAGACGGGCGGTTGTTGCGCTTGGTAGCTGGCTGCGGACCAGCCGGCCAACTGTGATCACCAGTTGAAATTGGATCAAATGCATATTCCGCCGGAACAAACCTGTGTGGACTCGAGAGTGGAGTCGCCGACTGTGCTGGTAGAGCTGCCGAGGGAATTGAAGGCGTTCTTTTTGCGCTGCAGGCAGCAGCACAACCAGCTGATGAGATCGTCGAAGAATCCGGCGTCTTCGTCAGGATCGTCGCGGTAGGCACCGCTTGAGGCCTCGTCTGTGCATACCGACACGAACAATTGCAGATCGTTCTTGGGAAAGCCGTCACGGTAGTACATTTTAATGGTGTCGTAGGCGTCCATGATGACCGAGATGAACAGGCTGAGTACCACGTAGATGTAGAGCGAGATGAAAGAGTAGAGGTAGATGCGCGAGTACCACCAGAGCGTCGGAGACTCGAACGAGGTGATGGAGAAAGTAGCAAACATGTCGTCGCCGTTGATCAGTGCGAAGAGGCACTCGGAAGTGGTGGCGAGCGAGCGGAATTTCATGTGGTACGGCCCGAGAACCAACCAACCACAGAAAGTGAAGCCAGCGTAGATGAGGATCGCACATATGAGGAATCGTGCCACTTTGGGGGCGGCCTTTTTCAGCGTCAGTATCACTACATTGTAGGTCTTGAAAAAGCCCAGGTAGCGCAGAACACCAAACCAGACCAGCAGGTTGCCCGTGCCTAAGAATATGCTGCATAAATCCCAGTGGTCCTTACCGTACTGTTTCTTCTCGATCTGCTGTTTGATCGCTGAGCCCATTATAATCAACAGATCGTTGATGATTATCATTACGTACCACAGATTGAGAAACTCAAGTTTGCTTTCTAAACTAAGAGATTTGCCGTAGACGTTCTTAAAAAATCTTACAGTCTCGTACTTGAGCACCTGCGCTCTACAAATCGCTCGCGAACATAAGCCCAACGAAATACTGCATATAAATATCACAAGCATGTTTAGCATTGTGCGCAACGCCGATTCTATTTGATTATCGGTGATATACTGTGTGTCGCCTTGGCACACCAGCCTCATCGGCTCTGCGTCCAGAGACAACAACATTTGACCGTCAAAGTCTTTATTGTTAAATATTATTTTTATTTTGAACTTGTAACAGTCTGGAGGTGTTATTGGTCCAGCCGCTTTCAGATTTACAGTCTTCAGGGCAAATTTTAATTCTGCCCTTATTAAAGCTGAAAAATTTATTGGCATGTTGAAATTTTGCAAAATTCTTCTTGACCCCAGTAGCTGTCCATTATCTGGATAAATTTTTGTGCAATTTTCTTCTATATTGTTATTGAAAATGTAACTTTCGTTGAATCCAAATATTATCCCTTCTTTATAATGAGTTAAACATAAATCTATAGCTCCTGCTGAGTTATTGTCAGTATTATAAGAATAAGAGCCAATTGCATTGCTGAGATTGTAATACCCTTGCAATGCATAATCTATTGTATCATAAAAATCATCTTTTTTATACACAGCTAATGGTCCAGTAGCAGGTGGATAAGCTGGTACCTGGAAATAATTAGAATTTACTTTGTTGTATTCTAAAAAACTCCTAATACACAATAATAAATCTTTAATGATTTATTAGTTATTTATTTCTGGCTTGAAAAGTGAAACTCAGAATATTGTGCTCACTTCTTGTGTAGCATCCCAGCCTTTGAGAAATAAATGTGAGAAAGCTATTCTATTATCCCAAGTATAATTTACATGCATATAATTATTATGAGCAAATAACCAAAGCTGCACAGTAACCAAAACTATTTTTATGACTTGCACTATAAACTTGTATGGAAATCTTCGCTTAGCTTCCCATTTCTCGATAGGATTCATAAAGAAGAATCTCAATCTTCTACGCATTTTGTCTTCCATGTATCTTGTAGCATGGCATGAATTCTGTTCATAAGATCCATCTTGTGTATCTCTACAAGATATATTGACTCAATAAAGTAATACATTTTGTAGAATCAACAATCTAATGATAATTCATTACCTAGATTTTGCACCTGATGTAGTATTCAGTAAAGAATTTTCATTTTCTTCTGAACTTTCTGGAGGTTCACTCCAAGAATTTGTACGTTGTACGCTACCCATTTTGCTAGATTGTTTTAATTTAGTACTTTCTAAACTAATGTATAGATTGTTAGGCAATATAAATAGAGATTTCACCAAAGCTAGTATATAATTGAACCTACATAACAAATTGCAAAGCTGGTATTCTTAAATTTTCAGGAAGAAGGCCTTTGTTCTTTACATTCAGCTTTCTAAAAAAAATATTTCCATTATTTTGCGTCCTTGATAAAAATAATACTGCAATTTATTTACTTATGTATCTGTCGACCGCGATAAAGAAATACTTATTCAGTTTCTCAAACGTCACAAATATCCATCTAAATATTAAAAATGTTAATAAGAAGTGAATATAAACCACGGTGTTTTTGTTGGGGAAAATATATCATGTAAACTGATAAACTAATGAACATACGCAGTTGTTCACACTTCACATCACAGCGACCAGCAGCATAACAAGTGACTCACGACGGAATCAGCAGAAATATGATTTTAACAGTCAACAAATGTATATGCGCTCACATAGACGCTTATATATATAGTATAGACTACGCGGAAACTATCGTGATAATCTCCAACTCCATGACACTGACAGACCAGTAAAGTCACTTGATTAAATCTTGATGCTTTATCATTGGCATAAACAAACCTACGTAGTTCAAGAAAATTTGTCAGATGGCGTACGGATGCGCTAGAAAACATTTGAGGAGGACGATTCAACATTTCTGTTGATACATTTAAAATTAAGCTTTATTTAATTTTATAAATTCAATTTTTATTTTATGCAAAAAATGCAATTTTAGCTTGTAAGAATTGTTGTAATTGAAACAAAACGAAGTAAACGAACATATGTATTTTGAATTCTGTAAGTCAGGACGGTCACGCTGGCGCGATTGTGGTAGTGTCGTGTGTTGTGAGTTGTGACCATGGAGACTGCCTAGCTGCCTATACCGCCCGTGTTAAGATCCCGGTCCCATAGCTACGTATGATGCGGACGGATATGGACGCGAATCGCAACTCTAGTAACATCACTAAAAATATCTAGTTCGATTATTTAGTACCAACACTACCGGTAGGGAGCAAAAGTAACTGTTGTTTAAAACTGTAGCGCCGAACGTACCACATTTAATGTTCAAATGTCAGGTCTACAATTTACTTTTCAAATTCTCATGAATATTGCTTATTGATGAGTATGCTAATGTAAAAAAAGCTTTTGGGATGATTAATACATATCATTTATATATTTTTTCTTCTTCTTCTCATATATTCAAGTACTTCCATAAAATTAAAGCCTAATTCCACTAATTATAGTTGAAAGTCTATCAATTCTCTATCATTTGCCATCTTATAGACTACAATAATGTAAAGGTTCGATAAGCGTTCATTAAATGTGGTACGTTCGGCGCTACAGTTTTAAACAACAGTTACTTTTGCTCACTACCGGTAGTGTTGGTACTAAATAATCGAACTAGATATTTTTAGTGATGTTACTAGAGTTGCGATTCGCGTCCGTATTCGTCCGCATTCATACGTAGCTATAGGACCGGGGTCTAAATAATCGTTTTTTATAAAAAGGGATAAATTAATTTTATAGAAAATGAATGCTGTTTTACGATAAAAAAGTCTTGCTATTTTGTTCGTAAATGTACATTTTCAAAGTTGAGTGAATAACGTTGAATTTCCTATCTTGAAATAAAATATATATATATAATAACTAAATTTTTCGAAAAAGTTTTAGAAGTTTGTTTAAGTGAGATTGTTACACACACGCACACACACTTAGAATGATTTTCAAGGTCATTTGAAGGTCACAGTGATTTTTTGAATAGGAATCCCTATTTTTGATTCCGGGTTTGGAAATAACGAGAAATTCTACGTTTAGATGAGGTATTATGTGTGGGGTTTGATTGATGATGAATATATTTAATATAAACTATTAAGACAATTAAGACTATATTTAATATAAACAAAAAATAATTATAATTATTGTAAATTTTTATGTTAAAAATCTATGCTTTTTTTACAATTGAATTATGGCTTTCGTAACAATATTTTTCTATTAAAAAGATAATTATTTTACACGGTAAAAATTTCGTGGATAGTTGACAATGACCACATTAATCATCGTAACTATCATGAAAGTTAAGTATATCGAATGTTATTTATTATTAGACATTATATAGTTTAATAAGGAAATATAAAAACAAAAAAAACTATAAAATTATTAAAATCGAGTGACCGAAAAGCGTATTCTACCATTTCAAAAAAATAACAAAAACGATATATTGCAAGACTTTTTCATCGTAAAATAGTATTAATTTTCTATAAAATTAATGGATTCCTTTTTACAAAAAGATATGCCAGGGCGGGTTATCTTCGTCACCTACAATAGTAATTTAAGTCTTCTAGTGGTTCACTAACTACCGCGCGCGGCGCTAAAATCGGCTAATTCCCTCCGAGAAAAAGAGAAAGTTGCCTAGATAAAAGGTTTCCGCCTCGCCTCCTGTATACAGTTTCCATGGTTGTGACTCTATGACCCTGATCCCATAGCTACGTATGAATGCAAAAACTTTTTTTACATTAGCATACTCATCAATAAGCAATATTTATGAAAATTTCAAAAGTAAATTGTAGACCTGACATTTGAACATTAAATGTGGTATGTTCGCCGCTACAGTTTTAAAAAACAGTCACTTTTATGCACTACCGGTAGTGTTGGTACTAAATAATCGAACTAGATATTTTTAGTGATGTTACTACAGTTGCGATTCGCGTCCGTATCCGTCCGCATCCATACATGGGTGGGCCGCGAAATGCTCCCGAGCTCTGTAGCTTTGGATTGTGGCGCATCGGAGTCCTCAGGTACCCGCAGCCATCAAAACGAAACGAAACGAAACGAGCTCTGTAGCTGCCTTCACTGCTTACGATTTCAAGCCGAGAGCATGTTAAGGTCCGTTTTCCAACGAAGCATTTTCAATGCGATTAATATTTTCTTTTTTATTGAAATTTAATACATTATAGGTGAATGATAGATTCATGGCTCTAAAAGATATTGTGATAATTATTTAAATAAAATCTATTATCCATTTGCGATTAATGCGGTAAAAGAAATTTCCTTTTATGTGTTACGCGCAAGTATTAGTAGTAGCAAACTAAAAATTTTTTTATTTCAAATAAATTTTCATATTCAACCTACTAAAGTTAAATAATAATAAATCATACAGTCATAAAAATTATAGAAGAAAAAAAATGTGTAATTGCATTTTAATAGTAACAAACATTTAGAGATGATATTACACTACGCTGCATCGTATTAGGGAGGTGCGTTAAAAATAATAGCAAATAAATTTGTTAAATAATTAAAAATTTCTTATTATTTGTTTGAATATCTTCTCTAAAATCTTGTAAAAAGTTTTGTCTGTTCATCTAAATAGCAGTATCAAATCCAGAGTATATCTAAAGGATATAATAAAATTCTAGGTCAAATAATTATTTATTGTATTTTATAATAGACAATTAATATTATGAACACATTTTTAAAAAATAAATTATATTATATTGATTGCCTTTTTTTTTCTCATTTTCGCACTCGACTATAAAGTCATCGCAAGCTTTGCAATTCTTTCCATTCATTCCATCGAAATAATTGACATAAATTTTTTTTTTAATTTTCTATTCCCTTCTTTGCATTCAATTTCAATTTGTTCAACAGCCGGTAAACAAGTTGTGTGGCAAGATCGCTCGCAAAATCCGCATCCATATAATTGTTCGTGTTTCGTTCTAAAACAATACATGCAAATATCTTCCATATTTTTAGAAAACTTTAACAACATTTTTGAAGCGTATATCCTGTAATCAAATGGGTACCCATTTGACCCGCGTCGAAGTCAAGTTCAAATGGAATATTCCTTCCTATATGATCTAAATAATTCATTACGTAAATCCCGCAGTTTACTGTATCACTAGGTTCTTGGTACGAGCGTTTGTCGGTTATGTAAACATTTTTCCAATCTACTAAATGTAAATTGTTTTCTTCGTTAACAAAATTTTTCACATATTGTAAATAAGCCAAGAAATTTTTATGGCACATTTTCGATCTTTGTAGGTTACTATTTCCGTAAGGATCTATGTGGTAAGTTATACGCTTGTCAATATCAGCGACGAAAGCACACCACTGACCGCTGCTCGCGTACGCCGCTGCAATCTTGCCATTAAACTGATGTCTCAAACGGTACATAAACTAATTAGGGTCTGGGGAATAGCCATCTACTAATAAAAGTGCCGCTTATCCTGTAGGTATATATACACAGTTTTTCCAAAATTTTTCGTTAACAAATTCAAAGGCATCGATACATTTTCCGTCAACCCATGCATTGTCACCAAGAGTCTTGTATTCGCTATTAAAAAGACGACATTCATAATTTGGTGGCATAATCGAAGGTGGTTTCTCGTTTCCTGTAGTACGGTGATCTCGGAAAATGGAATTGGGAATGCTGCTGAATCGACCCAAAGTTCTTGCATTCTCCGCTTTCATGTAATACAGACAATTATTCACTAGTCCATTATTTTCTCTTAATTGAATAGGAAAATCACAGGTACTTGTTGTGACGTTTTAATATTTTCTCTTGTTTTTCTCCTTTTTCGATCAAAATTACTGTCAATACCATCAAAAATTTTGACAGGTTCACACTCTGCAATAAAATTTAATACTTCTTCGCGAACGCTTAATTTAACATTGTTATTTAATTCCTTTCTATTTCGACCTTTTATAGCAGTATAATAATTACCATAATCAAACTTTACTCTCAAGCTAGCAGTTTCTTGTTCTGGTTTACTATTTTTACTTTCAACTATACACAAATACTCCGCATTAGCTGTTGTTACTTCTTGCTGAAAATCGTTGTTTACAGGTACATTTTCAAATGCGTTGGTGGTATTTTTAGTACTATTAATCTCATCGAAAATTACAAATTGTAGATTTAGGTCTTCATCGCTGACGGTAATACTGTTATTTTCCGCAACAGCTGTTGTTGCTTCTTGATTCAAATTAACGCTAACACTTATACTTTCAGATGTATTGCCGATATTTTTATTACAAATAATTTGATCGAAAATCGCAAATTGTAGATTGACTTCCTCATCGTTAATAGAGACGCTATTATTTTTGTCGCAAATTATCAAATTACGCTCTTCATATGGCACTAATCGAAAGTTGATATTATTATCAGGCAAAGAACAATTATTGTCACTGATATCATTCACTGAATAACATATTTCATCTTTCGCAATCAATTCTAGATTTTGTTCAATTATAGGCAGCGTAGTTCCAAAATCTTTGAAACTAATAAATTCATCAGCAACATCTTCGTTCTCACTATTGGTATCACAGCTTTTCATAAAAGTATCGATCTCTTCGTAATTAATCTCTTCAAGATCAGTAAAATTTTTTCGGAATAAAATATCCGACCTCCGACTCATTTCTATCAATTCTTTTGTCAGAGCAATATCACCAAAAGTAGCGTTGCTATCCTTAAATTCTAATTTCTTTGAGACCCGCGCTCTTGCATAGATTGCATAAAGCATTTCATCAATAAGCTCATCTGATGCTTCAAAGGCCACAATTC